ATGGGATACCAACTGACATGTTTTAAATGCAGATGCAGTCCTGGACGTGCTCACCAGTGTATGCCAAGAAATTTGGAGAAAGCTGTCTGGCCAGCTGACTGGAAAAGATCCATATTGGGTTCCATTCCCAAGAACAGTGATCCAACTGAATGTGAAAATTATCAAACAATATCACTAATATCACATGCAAGAAAAATATTGCTGAAGATCATGCAAAAACAACTAGAACAGTTGTAAGTACATTGACAGAGAATTACCAGGTGTTCAACTTGGGCTTAGAAGAGCCCTTGGCACCAGGGATATCATTGCTTATGTCAGATTCCTGGTTGAAAGCAGGAAGAATGTCTATTTGTGCTTGACTGGCTATGCAAAAGCCCTTGATAAATTATGGCTAATATTGGGAAGAATGGGAATCCCAGAAGACTTAATTGTGCTCCAGACCAAAAGGCTGTGCAAACAGAGCTAGGCAACACTACATGTTGTAAAATTAAGAAAGGTATACATCAGGGTTGAATCATCTCTCCAGAGCTATTCAACCTGTATGCCAAGCAAATTATTCCAGAAGCTGGGCACAAGGGAAAAGAATATGGTATGAAGACTTAAAAACAATCTGCATTATGCAGATGACACAATCTTGGTTACTGAAAGTGAGGAGCACTTGAAGCACTTGTTGCAGAAGATCAAACACTGCAGCCTTCAAAATGGATTGCATCTCAATGTCAAGAAAACAAGAATTCTCACCACCAAGGCTACATCATGATAAATGGAGAAGATTGAAAATATCAACAACTTTATCTTACTGAGATCTACAATCAACATCCTTGGTACCAGCAGTCAGATCAGGAGACATATTGTACTGGGGAAATGTGCAATCAGGGACCTCATCAGATTGCTGAGAAATGAAATCCATTTGAAAACTAAGGTGTGCTTAATTTAGACCATAGTCCATGTGTGTGTGTGTGTGTGTGTGTGTGTGTGTGTGTGTGAGAGAGAGAGAGTTAATTTTTATTTTATATTGGTTCGATTTTTATTATAAAGTTTGTATACATTGTGTTTTACACTATCTTCTTTCACATTGTTTCATATTATCAATCCTATTCATTGTAGTTTAGAAAACTAATCACCATTGAACTATACCTACCATTACCCTGTCTTTTCAGATCCCTACGGGATCTTTCCCATTTCCTTTACACCCACTCCATCCAGAAAATTGTTCAACACTGTGGTTTTCTCCCCTGCCCATGCTCACCCTTCTGTTCTCACCCCTTCCACCCTTAGATCATCATAGACATTTTACTAGTTATCCTTCTATATTTACAATAATGGTCTTATGCAATATTTGAGACTGAGTTAGTTCATGTAGCATGATGCTGCTCTCCAGTCTCTCCCAAGTTATATAGAAATTTTCAAAATCATTGCTCCTGAAGGCTGTGTAGTATTCCACAGTGTGAATGTACCACAATTTCTCAATCCATTCCAATGTGGTTGGACATTTGTGCTGTTTCCATTTTTTGTGGTTGTAAATAATGCTACTATAAACATTGGTATATAAATTTCCATTTGTGTCTCAGTTCCAATTTCCTGGGGGTATATTCCTAGTAGTGGAATAGCTGGGTCATATGGAATCCTATGTTCAGCTTTTTGATGAAACATCAAACTGCCTTCCAGAGTGTTTGTACCATTTGACAATCCCACCAACAGGGTATGAAAGTTCCTATGTCTCCACATCCTCACCAACATGTATTGCTTACTATCCTGTTAAACTTTGCCACTACTACTGGGTGAGATGGTATCTCATTGTGGTTTTGATTCACATCTCTCTTATTGCCAATGATTTTGAGCATTTTTTCATGTAGGCCATATGTCTTTTCAATCACTTGTTAAATGAATAAAGAGTTATATCTTGGAGAAAGTACAGTCAGAGCATTCCTTGAAGGCAAAGATGACAAAAGCTTCACCTCACATACCTTGGGCATGTTGCTAGGAGAGGCTATTCCTTGAAAAGGCACATCATGCTTGAAAAGGTGAAGCCAAAGAAAGGAAGACCCTCACCTGAATAGATTGACACAGTGACTACAGAAATGGCTTCAAGTATGTCAGAAATTATTAATATGGCACTGGATAGGACAGGGTTCGGATGTGTTGTTAATAGGGTCACTATGAGTTGCATTTGACTCTATGGCACTTAGCAACAACATAGACACAAACACTTCATTTACCGCTCTCTCCTCCTCTGTGAGGGAGCTCTGGTGTCCTAGTGATAAGGAGCTGCACTGCCAGCCCAAAGGCATGTGTTTTAATCCAACAGCTGCTCCACAGGAAGATGGGCAACCTCTTCCTGTGTGTTAAATGCCTCTGAAAACCTGCTTGAGGGTCAGCTATGGCTCATTTTCGACTTGATGGTACATAGCAACAACAACCACTCCTTGGAGGCCAAAATGGTGAAACTGTCTCACATTCTTTGGACATATTGTCAGGAGGGAATCACACTTGGAAAAAGACATCACACTGACAAAGGTGGAGGAGCAGTGAAAGAGGAAAACTCTAGAGGAAATAGAATGACACAGAGACTGCAACGTGAGCATGACAGAAAGGTTATGGGAAGCCAAAGTTCATACTACATATTTGTAATGAACAGAATGCTACTTCAGGTTATAAGGGAGGCTGGTTCTAGCTGGAATTAATCCTGAAGCACTAAGGCAATCCTTAAACGTTTACAGAACTCTTGCATTGTATTTGCTAACCCTTCCTTCTTGAGTCAAGCAGAAGGTTTTCAATAGAAAACGCTTAGCTTCACCTGCATTGAATTCTTTTTTGTAATTTACTCCCTGGCAATTTTCAATAAAGACAGGAAAGCTGGAATCCGCGCTTCAGTTCACTTCAGTTGTTCCAGAATTGTTCACCTCCTGCTTTACCTCTGTTCTCCTACATTCTTGGTGTTCTGTCTCATTATTAATACTTATAAAAAATACTGTACACTCGGTTTGCAACCAAAGTTCGTGAGGATGGGGCAGGACAGGTCAAGGTTTCAATCTGCTGATCACAGAGTTGCCATGAGTCTTACTTGACTTGACTGCACCTGAAAACAATTAAAAGTACCTGCAACAATGGGTTTAAGCACTGCAGAGACTGAAAATACACTGGGTCACTGTGAGTCAGAGTTGACTCAAACTCACCTAACAACAACTGAAAGATGGCCACTCTAGACCCACCTGAAAGTACCAAATCAGCCTGGTGATTTGCCTTTGAAAGGTCTTAGCCTCGAATAAACTACAGAGCAAATCTCATCCACACTGCAAGGGCATCACCAGAGTCAGAATTGACTCCTCTGCCAGTTTTTTGTCCTCTTTGAACTTCAAATGAATACTCAGCTGATTTCAGAGACCTTCCACTCAGAAGCATGGACTGCACTCAAACAACCCAGGATAGGTTTCATGATCTGCTTTGTCATTGTCACCTGCATTTCTTGGTCATTTCTGGACATGGGGTGCACTCGTTCTTTTTACACTGACTGCTGCACTCTCCCCTATAATTTCTGACTTCTCTTCTGGATTATAAGCACAAAGAGCTGACTAGAGACCTTCCCCTGGATCTGGAATGCAGGAGCTGGTCATGAATGCCACACTGCCATTTTGAAGGCAAGGACATCGACCCCCAAAACGACAGCCACCATTGCGCCATGGAGCAAGTATCAACATAGTTCCAGAGGACCCCAGAACTGCTCTTGGGCCTCAAGATGAGGAATGAGGCCCCCTCACCTCCACTTGCCATCACCTAGGAATCTTTTCTTTTCAATTAGGTGCACATTAGTCCTTTTTTTAAAATTTTATTTTGTGATTTTAACGAAAGTTTACAGAGAAGTTAGATTTTTATTCATTCATTGTTGCACATTATACCTCTGCTCTCTTCCTTCCCCCTCCCCCCTGTTTTGTTGTTGTTGTTTTTAAATATTCACTCACTGTTGGTCAATTATCTACCTCACCCCCTCTCTCAAGTCCTCTTTGCAAAGATGTACCTCTTATTCTGGGCTGTTGTCATATGCATAATGCCTAATCATATATTCCTTTCAATTCTTTCCTTCATCCGTTCCAATGCAATGGTCATTATCTATCCATTCTTATTCTCCTCCCAACCCCTCATGTCAGACCTGCTTTAAAACAGTGGTGGTATGTAAATGTTCATTAAAATTATTTTAAAAAAATTTTTAAGTGGTGGTATGCAGTAATTATCCTTTTTTGATTGAGGTATTTCTCTCAGTATGATGTCCTCCAAGATCCCCCATGTTTTAAGAGTTCACTGTTTTTCAGTGCTGTGTTGTATTTCATTGTATGACTAGCATAGATTGAAAACAAACACATAAAGCAATGTTCAAAATCCCTAGCTATCAGAGAGAAAAAAACCAAAACACCAACTATGAGATATCTCACCAAGTAACAATAGCAAACTTCAACAGAGCAGCAAACAATAAATGCTGGCGAGGTTGTGGAGAGTGTAAAATGGTGCAACCACAATGAAAGGTGGTATGGCGCTTTCTCAAAAAGTTGGAAATAGAAATACCGTTACACTCAGCAATGACATATCCTAAAAAATCAGAACCACCATCCAAAGAGATAAAAGAAATCAGAACCACCATCCAAACAGATAAATGCACACCATGTTTATTGTTGTGTTATTTACAATAACAAAGAAATGGAAGCAACCCAATAAATAGCCCGGCAACAAACGAATTGATGGAAAAAAATATGCCAATCCCTTTAAACTCAGCTTCCACCCCCTCTAGCAGAAGCATGCTTTAAAGACAGGGAGGACTCCCGGCGCATGCGGAGACAGGTGTTCCGACGTTGCCGTGGCTACAGAGACGCACATCACGCAGAGGGGCAGGCACGTGCGTCCGTAGTGAGGCGTGGTTTCTGTGTTGCCGTGGCGACGGGAAGACGCGTACCGCCGATGGAAGCGTGTTTCCGGGGCGGAGCGGGGCTGCCGGAATTGCGTGGCCGCCCGGGGCCATGGCGGCCCTCCGTATCGTTTGTCTGCTCCTTTGGGCGGCATCCTGGCCGCCCGCTTCGGCCTCGGGTGAGGAGTTTTGGCCTGGCCAGTCGGCGGCCGATATCTTGTCAGGGGTGGCGTCCCGAAGACGGTAAATATGCCTTTTATACCAACCTAACGGCGGAGACCGGGCGAGTGGCCGGAGAGTGGTCAGAGGATGGGGGGGGCGGTGGTCAGTGGGGGTGGACATCCGCTGTTTTCTTCTCTTCTGCCATCCAAGGTATACGGACGATTTTCGGTCCCTGGACGGACGCAGCTTCCTAGACTCGCAGAAGAGGCAGCTGCTTAGGCCTCGGACTCAATCTTGAAAGGCAGGACAGGGAGATCCCCGTTGACCTGAGTTTGCGGGCACCCAGAATGCGATGCTTGAATTCTGGACTGAGGAAGCCAGCTTTATTTCTTTGTAGGGAATCATTCCATCTCCCTCCAGATGTTGATAGCTTTTAGACATATAAAGCATTATCTATTAATGCCACTTGACATTAAAAGCCACAAAGGCTTTTTAAGGACCTAGTGGGAAGCTGACCTTGGTCTGGGCACTGGGTTGTGGAAATAATAGGATTTTCAGTCCTGGGGGACTTGAAGGGTAAGCCACGGATTACACCATAAATGTCCTCTGTAGCTAGGAAGACTGTCAAGGGGGTGAAAACTAACAGAAGGAGCAGCAACATTAACAGTAACTATTTTAATAGAAATTGGAGGACTCATAGTTGGGTGTTTTATGGAATGGATGTCTTTGGTAAAGGAACTCTAGTAGTATGTTGCTGTAGTGTTGCTCTGCTGACCAAAAGATCCACTGTTCCAGCCAGTTCAGGAGACAGCAAGTCTCCTTCTTTAAATCCAATGAAGAGTTATAAAAGTATTCTTTCTGATAAAAATTTTATTTATGTTAATATGTGTTGGGTTTATTGTTTTTTGCTTGTAGTATCCTGTAATTCAAGTTTGTCTTTCATCCGCTGGAAATATTGAATCATTCTTTTAAATTCTGTGTCAGAAAGTTCCATCAGGCTTTCTGGCTTCAGGAAATCCATTGATACCCTTTGGGGGTGACATCTTGCTTTGCGCTTGTGTAGTGTGTGGCATAGCTTCCTTTCAATGAGACGTTGACACGTTCTTGATTTGAAGACAATGCTCTAGAGATCAGCTGGGCAGCTACCCCTCTTGTGTCTTTCTCTGAATTTCTGACTGAAGGGAAATGTCAGTTCAGAGCCTGTGAGAGCAGCCTCTTGTAGGTAAGCCAGATAAAGGTGCTCCGGATTAAAGGCAAGTTGATTGACTGGGTATGAAGGCACAGGTGTGGAGCCAAATGGGGTGGGACAGACATGAGTGTGGGGTGACACTCAGACCTCAGCTGTCCAGTGTACTCACAGTTGGGGTCCCTACTAAAATTCCAGCTGTCTGTCTCCCACCCAGTGATTTTCACTCAGTGGTCCCTGCCCAGTGGCTCTTGCCCAGGTGCCCTCGCACAGCATCCCCTACCCAAGCAGGGTCCTGGGTCCCCCCAATTGGCTCACCCTTGGATGCTCATCTCCCAAGCAATTGCCAGGGCCCAAGAAAACCCAGTCAGGATCCTACCCGCCTGCCCAATCATGGGCAGTTGGTGTATTGTTATTTTTTAAATGAACCAAATATGGTTTAAAATTCTTAGTTTTCATTCCAGAGCAAGCAATACCATATAACCAACATAAGCACAAACTTTATGGAGGATCTCTGTAATTTTAAGACTGTAAAAGTACTTTTTTCACACAAAACATTTGGAAACTTTTGAAGTAGTAATTTGGACTAAATGATTCAAAGCTTCTAGTTACTGAGATTCCATTGTATTCTTTTTTAATTATTGTAAGTTGTTAAATGGATTCTCGGACTCTGCTACTTCTACTCATGTAGAAAGGATGGGCACTGCCTCTATTTCAGAAACTAGAGGTGGTGGAGGAACCAAGGTTTCCAAGTCCATTCCAACCCATAGAGATCTGTAGGAAAGGGTAGAATTGCCCTATTAAAGAAGCAGACCTCCATATCTTTATCCCACAGGTGGTTAGTGGGTTCAACCCACCAAAAGTGGATTCAGTCTTTTGGTTAGCAACTAATTGTTTAATCATTACTGCTAAAAATCATCTGAAATACAAAAAACAAGCTGTGGATCGTGAGCATGCCCTGGTTTCTGGCACAGAGACCTCACCACTAAAGACCTGTTTGCTTCCTCCCCTGCTCAGATACCTTTTGTATGACGTCAATCCCCCAGAAGGTTTCAACCTCCGAAGGGATGTCTATATCCGCATTGCTTCCCTCCTGAAGACTCTACTGAAGACTGAGGAGTGGGTCCTGGTCCTACCTCCATGGGGTCGCCTCTACCACTGGCAGAGCCCTGACATCCACCAAGTCCGGATCCCTTGGTCTGAGTTCTTTGATCTTCCAAGTCTCAATAAAAACATCCCTGTCATCGAGTATGAGCAGTTCATTGCAGGTAAGGGTCACATGGAGGCTTGGGGCCTATAGTCATTCTGCTCTGGGGTAGATATCAGGCCACATAGAGCCTTGCTGATGCCCATATTCTGGCCACCACCTCCCCTCAGGTTTACCACAGTGCCGTCTCTGCATGACAGTCATAGGGAAGTATATCTGAGGTTGATGAGCTTCTGTGCCTCCCTGTCAGAAACTAGGACACAAATCCATGAAATTAAAACAGCTGCCAGGTGGGTCTCTTTGACAGCATCTAGTCCCCTAGCCAGAATGTTTGACCAGAAGGAACATTGCTACACAAGTTACACTGTGGTAGTTGACTTGACTGTATGGTGTCTTACTGTTTTGTGTGATTTTGTTTATTCTATTTTTAAGTTGAGGAGTTGAAGATTTTTTTTTAGTGTAAAGACATTTGGACCTTCTTATTGGTTTGTCTGTGGAACTCAGTGGCTCAGTCCATAGCTTGTTGCTGTGTCTGCAGTGGTTTAAATCCACCAACTACTCTGAGGGAGAAAGATGGCTCTTAACACTCTCTTATTAAGATTTACAGCCTCATAAATCTGTTGGAAGATTGCTGCAAGTTGGAATCAATTTATTGGCAGTGAGTTTGGTTTTTCAGTTAGTGGTTTGTTTGGAAAACATAAATAAGTGATTCTTTTCCCCCAACAACTTTTGAGAAGACTTAAAGAAGAGTAGGGAGCTCTGGTGGCCTGATCTATAGGTTGTTGAGCTGCTGACCCAAAGGCTAAGCTTCTATAATTATTTGAATCCACCAGCCATTCCAAGGGAGAAAAATGGGCAATCTTCTCTAGTGCTGTTTGCAACCTGCAAAACCCAATGTCAGATCAGCTGTGATTTGGTTCTGACTCCACAGCAACAAGTTGAATTGAAAGAAGAATGAGAGTCTCTGAGTGGTGCAAGCAGTTAAACATTTAACTGCTAACCTTAAGGCTAGAGCTAGAGGTACTTTGGAAGCAAGGCCTGGTGGTCTGCTTCCAGAATCAACCATTGAAAACCCCATGGAACCCAGCCCAACTCTCACACATGGACAGCCAGGGAAAAAGACTGAGTCACAGTTTCTAGGCATGCTGCTACTTTGGCATTTATTGAGTTCTTACACTACAGTCGCCTAGAACATCTAGTTAGCATTCATTGCTCCCCATTGAGAATTTGGCTTCTGTGGCTTCATTTTTCCTGTCCTAGTGTCTCGGATCCCATCACGTTGAATTGGGATTTTTTTGTAAGAGTAAATCTCCAGGTGAACTCTGTGGGCATCATTCATGTTGAAGAAACAGTCCAGAATATGAAACGTGCACTTTTGTCATACATCTTCCCAGACTCACCCTTTGACTTCCTGTGAGCACTTGAAAATAAGAGCTGTGGCTTTGTGATAGTCTCAGGGAAGAGCCCCTGTAAAAGTGTGGCCTGAATGGCTTCTCCGGGTGGGAGTGGTGAGGGGCGGGGACTAAGGACAAACCCTGGAGAGGCGCAGTCCTGGACCAGACCTGAGGAGGTCACTGCCTCTGAGCCCCAGGAGAGCAGGAGGCTGCAGGGGAGGGTGAGGGCCTGTGCAGGACTTTTTGACGACTGTGAGCCCGAGACTGTGCTCTAGGGAAGTGAGAGTTCAGTATTAGAGCAGTGTGGGGGAAGAGCTAAGGCAGAGGAAGAGCCTGTAGCAGAGGCCAGGTCATTTGAGTGCAGCAGGAACAGGAAGCTGGAGGACCCAGCCAGCAGTGCCTCCTCAAGGGCAGTGGCCTGTGCCTTAGCAACGTTTATTCTGTCTTATTGATAACATTTATAAACGTCTTCCAGTCCCTGTTGGAAGCTGTTATTGTTAGATGCCATCAAATCACCCATAACTCACAGTGACCCTGGGAACAACAGAGCTGAGCCTTGTTCTAGCCTGTACCATCCTCGTAATCTCTATCATGCTTAAGCCAGTTATGGTAGTCACTGTCCGTTCATCTTGCTGAGGGTCTTCCTCCCTCTCACTGACCATCCACTACCTTTCCCAGCATCTCCAAGGACTGATTCTTCCTGAAAATATGGCCAAAGTAAAGTGAGATGAAGTTTCACCATCCTTGCCTCTGGAGCAACCTTGCTCTTCCTCCCTGAGGTGCAACCTTGTTGTCCTTCCTCCAAGATATATTTGTTTTTTTGGCAGTTTGTGGTATATTGAGTACTTTTGGCCAACACCATAATTCAAAGGCATTGATTCTTTAGTTTTCCTTGTTCGTTGTCCAACTTTCAGTTACATAGGAATTAATTGAAAAATACTATGGCTTGGATCAGGTGCACCTTCATCTTTAAACTGACATCCTTGCTCTTTAGAACTTTGGAAAGGTCCTTGACAACAGATTTTTCTCAGTGCAACACATCTTTTGATGTTTTTTTTAAAAAGTCTTTTTGATTTCTTGACTGCTGGTATCATAGGTGTTGATTATGGATCCAAATAAAATTGTTGACAATTTCCATATTTTCTCCATCTATCTTGATGACACAACCCTGCTTGCTGAAACTGGGGAGGACCTGAAGCGCTTGCTGCTGAGGGTCAGGGACTGCAGTCTTCAATATGGATTGAGGCTCAATGTCAAGTAGACAAAGATTCTCACCACTGGACCAATTGGCAGCATCAGGATGCATGGTGAAGAGATTGAGATTGTTCACAGCTTTATTCTGCTTGGCTCCACAATCAACACCCTTAGCACCAGCAGCCAGGAAATTAAAAGACGTATTGCGGTGGGAAAGTCTGCTGTTGGGGACCTCTCTAAAGTACTCAAGAGCAACGATGTGTCTCTGGAGACTAAGGTGCGTCTGGTACAGGCCATAGTCTTTCCAATCACTTGTTATGCATCAGAGAGCTGGACAATGATCAGGGAGGATAGAAGGACAATTGATGCTTTTGAGCTTTGGTGTTGGAGAATAGTGCTGAGAGTGCCATGGACTGCTCAGAAAACAAACAGATTCATCCTGGAGAGGGTTAAACCAGGCTGCTCTTTGGAGGCAAGGATTCTGAGGCTTTGTCTGACATACTTTGGTCATGTTGTAAGGAGGGACCCGCCCTTTGAGAAGGACATCATGCTTGGGAGGGTGGAGGGCAGGCGCAAAAGGGGAAGGCCCTCTGGGAGATGGTTTGATTCGGTGACTGGGGCAATAGGGATGAGTGTGTTGGAGACAATGAGATTGGCACAGGACAGAGCAGAGTTTAGGGCTGTTGTACATAGGGTTGCTATGAGTTGCAAGCGACTCGATGGCACATAACAACATCTTGATATTGCCTATTTGTCTGGTGGTGAAGATGGTAGTTCTCTTGATGTTTAGATGTAACCCGTATTGAAGGCTATGGTTTTTGATCTGCAATGAGTACTTTAGCTCTTCTTCACTTTCTGCAAGCAAAATTGCATCATTTGCATAATACAGGTCATTGAGTCTTCCTCAATTCTCAATGCTACATCCTTCTTCATAGAGTCTAGCTTCTCAAAGTATTTGCTGAGCATGCATATTAAATAGATATGAAAACAGGATATAACCATGAAGCACATTTTTCCTGATTTTAAACTATGTGGTGTTCTCTTGCTCAGTTTGGACAATTGGAAGTAGGATGAGGTTAATTGAGAGTCACATTTGTACCAGTGCCTGTTTAGGATAGACCTTGAACACGTTCTCTCAGTTCACTTGTACTGATGAACTTTTTCTGGTCTCTTTCAGAGTCTGGAGGGCCTTTCATTGACCAGGTCTACGTCCTGCAGAGTTACGCCGAGGGATGGAAAGAAGGGAGCTGGGAGGAGAAGATCGATGAGCGGCCGTGCATCGACCAGCTCCTCTATTCCCAGGACAAGCATGAGTACTACAGGTAACACAGCAGGGGTCAGACCACTTCCTGCAGGTTCACAGGTGCCCACTCACATGACCGTCACTCACTACACAACGTTCTGGGGTCGCATGGCTTCACAAGTGCTCCTGACCGCTTGGGAGAGAATTCATACTGCATGGTCCCCAGATAGCCACAGGGCTCCCAGGCATCCTGAATTGTCAGCAACACATCTGTCTGCTTTCTTCCTTAAAACATACAGATAAGGAGTAAGCTTTAAAAATATCTCAGTTCCTCCTGTACCAGTCAGATCTGATTTGACGGTACACTCACACAAAAATAATAAAATTTAAAAAAAAATCTCAGTAAGAGCTGATTCAGACTCTACTGTTTGTTCACTTTTTAAATGCATTTGAATACTCTGCTCTGTCTAAACATCAGTGGCCACCTTAGCTTCACCGTCATAGTCTCTGGAGGGCAGGCAACATTCCAGATGACTTGGCTTTGAAACCTGAGGAATGGAGGTGTTTTACAGAAGACCCTGTCATCTGATGGAGCTGCGGTCTAAGCCTTTTGGCCCTTCAGGTGTGAATTCCCACCAGATCCCTTGAGGGTTGTCCCCTCAGTGTTTTCCCCTGGATTTGTGAGCACTAGTGGCCTAGTCCCTAGCATATTGTGCCATGCTAACCCACAGCCATCGAGTCTCCAGGCATCCGAATCTACCAGCACCACCTTGGGAGAAAGATGAGTGGTCTCCTCCCTCTGTGATTTACAGCCTCAGAAACTGGTGGAGGGTCGCTTTGAGTTGGAACTGACTCAGTGGCAGTGAGTTTGGTTTGAGTGAGAAAAGCCTCTGGGCCTCATCACATCAAACTGAATTCTGTGATTTCTTTTAAAAAATCCCTGAGAACCATCACCAGTAAAGTTCCTCAAGAGAAGCTGTGCTTTCTCAGGGGCTCAAGCCGCCTATACGTGTGTAAACTTCTTGAGTACCATCAAATCAGAACCCACCCATAGCTGACCCTCCAGCAGGTTTTTAAAAGCTGCTAATCACGTGGGAAGAGATTGCCCATCCTTCTCCCTTAGAGCAGCTGGTGGAATTGAATCCTGTGCCTTTGGGATTGCAGTGCAGTTTCTTACCACTAGGCCACTAGACTTACTACTGTTTGAAAATAAACTAAATTGACAGGAAACATGTGGGCTTATGTTTTTCAGAGGATGGTTTTGGGGCTATGAGGAGACAAGAGGTTTGAATGTGTCCTGTCTGTCTGTCCAGGGATCAGCATCCATCATTGCACCAGTTCTTTTGAAGAACACATCCGCACGGTAAGCCCCCCACTACGTCTCCACTTCGCCCACAGGTGCATCGACATCCCACCCTCTGCTGCCAGGGCCAAGCCCCCTCCCCGCCACCTGTGAGTGTGGGGTCCCCAGGGAGTTGGACATCAGTGTGGTGCTTCATCATGACAATGAGGGGGGCATTCCTCCCCAGGAGACAGCTGAGGTTGGAGGCTAGGCAGAGGCTGTGTTCATCCTCAGGTAAATGCATGATAGGGCATCCCCTTGGGGTGAGATGAGCTGTGGTGCTTAGGACACAGCCACCATGCTCACAGGGACATCTCTGACTAGCTGCTGTTCTGATGTTTTTATACTGTAATAGTAGACTCGCTACCCAAGGAACTCCTTTCCTGCAGATCAGGTGACCGTAGGCTACTCCTCCTGAGGGGGAGGTGCATGGGCTGGTGGGCTATTACAGGGATGTTGGGGAGTAAACATAAGCCAGAGCCACTTAGGGCTGAGTGGGGGCGGTGAGCCCAGGAGTCTGCACAGCTAGCTCTGTGATGGCCAGTGATGCTTCTGAGAAGAAGCCAGCAAGGTACCTATTCTGCTGGCATCTTGAGAAGCACTGCTTACAGAGCTGGGGTGGGAGCCCTCATCCAGGTTCTGATCCTCCTCCTGGGAGTGGTATGTGAGTGGTGGTTTTGCTGCCATCCAGAACCCTGTAGGAAAGGAGGAGGGAGGGCAAGGGTAGTCTCTGTGCAGTAATTGCTCCCACTCACCACAAGGTGGCAGGTGGCCTTGGTGAGATTGCCCCCAGATGTCAGAGGAGTGGAGGGCCAGTCTGTATGACCAGCTCTTCAGAGGTGGTGCTGATGGTGCGTTCTGGGGGAGATTGCTCCAGCTGTATCAGTCCTGCAGTAGTACACCCTGCCTGGTGTCTGTCCTCAGCCTCCTGGCAACCCCAGCATTAGAGCAGATGATAGCAGAGCAGGGCCACCCCTCCCCAGACAGCCCCAAGAGTCCCCCTGATGGATTTCGAGGCAAGGGGAGCGAGGTCCTGCACTCTGAGGCTCTGTGCAGCTCCACAGGCAGCAGGAACTACGTCTGCCTGTGCAAACCACCACTGAAGGGAGTGTAGTGTCCCGGGACACTGGCCCAGAGCTCTCCTGCTGGCTTCTTCCAGCTCCCCTGCCATGTTAGAATGATGACTCGAGCGTTGGGTTTTGTGGCGGAAAGGTCTGTATAGCAGATGTTTGTCTGTGCTTAGTCACACTTTCACTTCCAGAAAAGTAGGAGCACGTGTCTGCCACGGGAGGCTGCCCTGGATGCTTGGGTGCTGGGATTTAGTGTCAATACTTCAGAGATCTGTTCTCTTCATCACCATAGCTGGGCTTCAGAAACACACATGGCTAGAACGGTTGGCCTGTGGCACATAAACCTTCCAGTTTTTCTGAAGCTAGCTGGGTATTTCCTGACTTTACCCCCATCCTGCACAGTGGTTGAGTCTCTCGGCTGTGCTTTCTGGGTAGTTGGCTAATTCGGTGAGAAGCAGGATGTTTGAGGCAGATCACTTAATCCCTCAGACCAGGCGTTCCTGTCACTGGTGTGATTGGGTTTGTGTTCACTGCTGACTGGCAAGAAGATTCTTGGCTTTCCCAGGGGTGGCATTTGGTGCCCCACTATGGCCCATTTATGAGGAAGGAGTTTTCACTTGAGCCACACTCTAGAGGAAACTTTATGTATTGTATCCTAAGGCTTATTATCCAAAGGTACTACCTCCAACCTAACTTCTGAATCAGCTGCTGGGTGACAGACAACAGGGAAGCTGGGACACTCGGCATATACCACCCCTCAGCTGTGGGAAACTGGGCCGCACCGACAGTCTCTTTGGTCACATCTTTCTAGTGAGAGCCGTGATGAGGAAAATAGCCAGGCAGCAGCCTGCCCAGGCCCTTCTCGCCCTTTCAGTTCTGTCAGACTTCTGCCCTGCCGTCCACCTGTCCTCATGGGACCTCAAGCCACCCAGCTGTGTCACAGTAGTTGCTTGGTTGATTTACTTGCTTGTTAAGCCCTTCTTCCTGTCTGGCCTGGCTGTGTGTCACAGTGACATCTCATTCCCCTAAACACAGCAGGATGAGTGTGGCAGGCACAGACCTCATGCCTCTTCCAGAAGCCATGGTGCCCACACAATTCCTCCCTTCCACACCCAGACTGTATTATCTTTATTCATTACTGTTTCGTTCAGTTTTATTTCCGAGTGCCTCTTAGTTGACTTCTGCTTTGGGCCCTCTGAATCTTGCAGTCACGTCACTGAGAGCCGTAGAAAATGTAGCCCTGTGACTGACCGCTGACTGCAGAGCTTGTTCTTGGCCAGGCCCCCCTTACACACACACATACCCCCCAGCTGCTGTGCTGTTACAAGACCGAATTCAGATAAAAACCTCATACCATAGAGCTACTCCAACTCATGGTGAGCCCTGTGTGTCTAGCCAAGTCCTCCTCACTTTGAGGAAGCAAGATAATGCCATCTGCATAACACAGGTGGTTCATAAGTCTTCCTCTGATCCTGATCCCACATTATTCTTCAGAGTCCAACTTCTCAAATAATTTGCTGAGCATACAGACTGAAATAGGTATGGAGAAAGACCACAGCCTAGACTTACACTTTACTTATTTTAAACCACACCGTGTTTCCTTGCTCTATTCATACAACAGCTTAGTAGATCAGATAAGTGGATCATTGAATATTCAGACTGGAGCCTTATTCCATGAAGAAGGGGACAAACTATTACTACCGGCAATAAGGGTAAATGTACAGATAGAATAAGGAATAAGAAATGCAAAGTCTAAACACAGCTAGGTCTATTTACTGAAGTTAAGAAACAGGCAAAACTGCTAGTGAGGACACGGAGTGTGGAGATGGCAGTGTGGAGGTGGTGGTGTCGGGAGGGCTTCCTGGCAAGGCCCTGTCCTTGAGCTCTGTGGGAGAGGGCTGGTGTGGGAGTGGCAGCATCACCACTCCAGTGGGATGGTGCACATGTTTGGATTATAAATTTAGTGGTACATAGATTATTATGTAGACTTCTGAATGTGTCAGTTACATTTTCTAATACAGCAAAACTGAGTTTGCCCTTTACTGCCCCAGAGGCAGGCATTCTCAATTATCATAGTCCCTGGTTTACTATGTAGTTAACAAATAAGCCCAATTTACAACCAGGAAAAATCTTGTACCCATGGTAACATGTACTCTATACAGTGTTGCAATATGTAATTTGTTGATGTCATTTTCAGATGTAACATTTGCAACCCTCCATAGATAAATGAAGCTGGAACTTCTAAAGATTCTGATAACAAAAGGCAGTAGTAATTTTTCAGTTGGTTGTTTTTTTTAAAATCTTTAAAATAAGATATTTGACATACAACCAACTTCAAATCTCATCATAAGTTGGGGTCTAACCTGGACCCATTTCTTCAAGAATTATTCTAGTGTCAGCCATCTGTGATGCTCTGTCCCAATTTTTAAACACAAATGCACCATGTCAGATGTGTTTCCACATGACTTGTTTTGAGGGAGAGGATGTTTCCCCACTTACCCCAGGATCTTAGGAGTTCTCATCCTGCACACCACTCTTCCCTCCACAGCCATCTCCCAGGAGCAGCTGTCATGTGGTGTGATTGAATCCACATACATGAGTGGACCTCCAGTGGGTTCCAGGTTTTTATTGTTACCAGCAGGCCATGTTTTTGTAGAGAAGTCTGCACAGATGTGGGGTACACTCAGAACAGGGTGTAAATGGGTTTGTCAGGATCGCCCCACATAGTGAGTGACTCAGAGAAATCCCCTTCTCAGTGGGCACATAGCAGTCTCTGGGCATCGCAGTGCTGAAAGATAGTCTCTGGTCTGGTTGCTTGTCTTAGATTTCAGAGTAAGATCATGCCTAAAAGCACTTTTGAAACCCTTCCCCCCGCCCTACTATTTCTTTTGCCCATGTTTTTTTTCTTCCTCTGCCAAATGACTAAGTTTTATGTATTTATCAATCCATTGTAATGATTTCCAGGATTTCTTCATTGCAACATACAACATCTTAAATATTCTTTCCCAGTGTGCTTTGGTTGTGTCCATTTCTGCAGTTAACGGTGAGCCCTCTGACAGGTATTTTGGCAGAAGTGAGGGTAAGGTTCTGACTGTGCCCCCAGAAGCACCCACGCCCCAGCACAGGGTGTGCATGGCACCTTCCTCCCATCTGTCAGCTCTGTGCCATCCATCCTGAGTAGATGCCAGGGTTTCTGGGCTGGCTCCTCTGGTTGCAGGGAGGGAATCAAGGCTTAACTGTTAACCGTCTTTTCGGCCTGAGATAGTCACAGTAAGGAGTATCTCCTCCCTGTCCCAGCTGTGACCAGTTTCATCAGAGTAAATACTGACTTGTCGGCCCTGTGCCCATAGCCGCATGGCTCTGCTCCTTTACCTGGTAATGAGCTAAGTCACGAGTGTTCTAATTTCATACCTACCATCTTAGTTATTTGTCATAATGTCTTAATAATTTACTGCTAGGCTGTATTATTTTTTTCTCTTTGTTTTGTGTGTGATCCTCTTTGCATCATAGTCACAAAGGAATCTGATGTCACTTGCTTCAGTTTTTAGAGTTAATCAGAGTCTGAACAATAAATGACCAGTATGTATTCCTGTGACCCAAGAAGACTAGTAATGTTGTTTTTAGATGCCCTTGTATTGACTACAACTCATAATAACCCATAAACAACATACCTGAACCTCACCTTGTGCCATCCTGCTGGTCTGACATGCTCAAGCCCATTGTTACAGTCACTATGCCAGCCCCTTTCAGTGAGGGGTTTCCTCTCTTTCCCAGAACCTCTTTCACAGCATGATATGTCTTTCCAGTGACTGGCCCATCCTAACAATATGCCCACGGTATGTGAGATGAAGTGTCACCGTCCTTGCCTCTGTGGGGCATCCTGGTTGTGCTTCCTCCAAGACAGGTCCATGTGTTCTTTCATCAGTCTATGGGATAGTCTGGATTCTTTGCCAACACCACAGTTCAAAGGCATCGATTCTCATTCAGTCTTCTTTTTTCATTGAAAACACCATGGCTTGGATCAGGCTAATTGTTGTTGTTTGGTGCAGTCAGATATGACTCAAAGTGACCCCGTGAACAACAGATCTGAACCCTGTCCTGTCCTGGGTCCTCCTCATCTCTGACATACTAGAGCCTGTTGCTGCACTTTTCTGTCCATCTCATTGAGGGTGTTCCTTTCTTTCACTGACCTTTTTCAAGCACGATGTCTTTCCAAGGAATAGCCCCTCCTGACAAAATGCCCAGAGTATGTGAGACAAAGCTTCGCCATTCTTGCCTCTAAGGAGCACTGTGGCTGAACTTTCTCCAAGACTTACCTGCCATCCAGCTTTCTCCAAGACTTACTTTTGGCCATCCGTGGGATATTCAGTATTCCAACATCCAACTAACTCAAAAGCATCAGTTCTTTTTCTTTCATCTTTATTCATTGCCCAGCTCTCAGATACATAGCAAGTGATTGAAAAGACCATGGACTGAATCAGGTGTACCTTGGTCTTTAAACTGGCATCTTTCTTGACTGCTGATACCAAGGGTGTTGATTGTTGATTCAAGTAAAATGAAATTGTTGACAATTTCAGTCTTTTCTCCACCTGTCATGATACTGCCTCTCAGTACAGTGGTGAGAATTTTTGGTTTTGGTTTTGGTTTTGTTTTGTTTTTCAGTTTTTAAAAAAAATTTTCTTTTCTTGACATTGAGATGCAGTATTGAAGGCTGTAGTCTTTGATCTCCTACAGCAAGCACATCAGGTCTTCATCACTTTGATCTGCATAACAAAGTTTATTGATAAGTCTTCCTCCAGTCCTCTTGCCATATTCTTCTTCATAGAGTCCAATCTCCTGATTATTTCCTTAGCATACTGATTGAATAAGTATGGAGAAAGGATATGACCATTTCTTCCACACCTTGCTTGATTTTAAACCATGCGGTGTTCCTTTGCTCTATTCATAGCTTATTGGTCTACGTATAAGCTTTGTCTAAGCATAATTAAGTGTTCTGGGATTTCCATTCAGGCTGATAGTCCCCTCAGAAGTAGTTCTACTTTAGTCCTTGGCCCAGGGTTCTGTCATTTTATTCTTTCTGGAAAGTGTGATATAATTGTAAAATAAACTGCTTATTTTTCTTTTGTTTAATAACAGATCAGTGATGTTGGACAGAGCTGAGAACCTGCTCCATGACCACTATGGAGGGAAAGAGTACTGGGATGTGAGTGTTTCCTGGGCCACTTCTCAGTTTGGGTCATTTGAATTTGTTAGTCAAGGTCTAAAAAAATTAAAATAATCAAAAACTCTATTTGCCAACCTTGCTGACTGAAGGACATACAGCTTTTAGAAGCAATGGGTGTAGACTGAGAAGATTCATCCACCGGGCAACAGCAAAGACACTGCAGATTCTCCTCGGCCGCTGGGCAGGGGAAGTCCTCAGGTGCCCGCTGGCCGTCAGCCCTCTCCGGGATTTAGGAGGTTGAGGTGTGCTGAGTAGGACAGAGGGGGTGTGCGTCCTGAGTGAGAGCCCTCCTCTGCTCTAGTATTTGTCCTTGTCTCAGGGGAGCGGGAAAAGCCATTCCTAATCAGGGAAGTGCCTTGGCCTTGCAGGATTCCTTTTGGGTGTCTGGTCAGTGTCTTCTGCTGCTGTTTCCTTCTTCACCATTATCAACACAGTAATGCTGTTACTCCTGCCCATGTGTCATTGTCCCACCATCATCAGCCTCTGAAGGCTGCATCCCTCCCTCAGCCAGAGTGCCCCTTACTCTCCAAAGACTGATCCTGGAATGTTGTTGTTTTTATGTGCTGTCGAGTCGACTACAACTCATTGTGACCCTATGCACAATAGCTTTGAACCCTGCCCTATCCTGAGCCAGTCTTACTGTCTCTGACACACCTACCCCCAGTACCCGAGTCATGATGTCAGTCCATCTCATCTGGGGTCTTCCTCTCCTGTGCTGTCCCTCTACCCTTCTAAGCATGAGGTCCCTCACCAAGGACTGGTCCCTCCTGAAAACATTCCCAAAGTATGTGAGACGGAGCTTCAAAATTCTTGTCTCTGAGGATAAGTGTGTTAATAGTCTTCCTCTTAATTGTGTATTACTACAATCAGTTAATTAATTACAACTACTCAGATTCAACTCATTCCCATTGGGTTGGAACTGACTCATAGATGGCTCTTTAGCAGATTTTCCGAATCTGTAAATCACATGGAAGGAGCTTTCCAATTGTTCTCCCTCAGAGCAGGTGGTGGATTTGAACTCGTACCTAATCATTTGCATTGCAACTCTATACCACAAAGTGACCAGGGCTCCCTAATTGTAACTAAGATGGACTTAATTCCATTAACTGACATTATGACTCTGTTTACAGTGAGACTCCCTTAATGCATAGTGGTTGTCATTACGTTCTTTAAGATGGTTCTTACAGTGATTAGCAGGACAGGAGCTGAGAGGACTCTATCAGTAGGCCAGGATGAAAGTGGAAAGAGAGAATTGACCTTGACCTATTTGTGGAATACCTATTGGGACACTTGAGGGTGCACCCTTCACTAGTGGGTATTCTAGTATCCCCAAAAGCTTTCCTCTCGGCCCCACAGACCCGGCGGAGCATGGTGTTCGCCAAACACTTGCGGGTTGTCGGGGATGAGTTCAGGAGCCGCCACCTCAACTCCACTAATGAAGCCGACAAGATCCCCTTCATGGAGGACTGGACCAAGATGAAGGTAGCTTCCCTGGTTTTTTTGGCAAGAGAGTGTGTATGTGACTGCTGTAGAGGCACAACACTCGTCCTTGCTTTAGAAAAGTCTCCATCACAAGGGCACGATCCCTAGGGCTGAGGGGAGCCTGAGGCCTGGGTATGTGAGCTCCACATCCCGTGTGTCTCTGGCCCCAGGTCTCCTAGCCTCCATGTGACCTTAGTTCTCATGAAGAATCATTCTGTCACCAGTAAAATAGAAATGCTGCATATCCCAGTAACCTACAGGGGTTACGTTTAGCAGAAAATGAGATGGCAAATCAGAGTCAACCGTAAAAGGGGGTGAGAGTGTCCATTGAGAGCCACTCTCATGACATGAGCCTGAAGGAGAGCGCACTAAACTTCTCCAGATCACCCCACACACTGTTGTTTCTCTTTTAGTGTAGCTTCCTACTTGGGTTTTTTTCCCCTGGAAGGTTGGTTTCTCCTATAATATATTCTTAGCACATATATGTCTTAAAATCAATGTTACTTTTAAACATTTTATTGAGGTTATTTTTAACAACAAGTGTTTCACAACTGACCTGTTACAGGACATTGGGCTGTTTAATAATGGAAGGGCATTTTCAAGTAATAATTGTTAGGCTGTTTGTATAATCTTTACTTAAGAGGAAAATATTAAGATGGGGTTTTTAATTTATTCATTTGTATTTTTTTTAAGTATCTCCTAACCATATGTATTTGAGATAAAAGGGTCTGTGGGAATTTAGCACTTTATGGACTTAAAAAGACATCAGTGGTATCAGATAATATCTGGAAAGGTCTCTTAGATATAGCTCTGGAGTACACCTCCACCTTGACCCCCAGTATCTCAAGGACTCTCCACCCCTATGGCTTCCTGCTTCCTACGTACTCCCACCCATCTCAGATTTTCCCCTGGACGGCTTCTCCCATTCCCCAGCTGCTTAAGTGGAACCCTCCCTGGGATTACTGGGTATAAGACCATGGAGTGAAGAAGTGATAAGTAAGGTATCACAGACCCTTTGCCCTTTAGCCTGACTTCCAAGTGGACCTACCCATATTCCATGCCTGACACAGTTGCTAATACGGATCCTCTGTGTTTAGCTTCAGTGTATCTTATTTATGTTTTGCTAGGTCAAATTGGGTTCTTCACTGGGGGGTCCTTACCTTGCCGTGCATCTGAGAAGGAAGGACTTCATCTGGGGTCACAGAGATGATGTGCCCAGTCTGGAAGGTGCTGTGAAGAAGATTCGCAGCCTCATGAAGACTCACCACCTCGAAAAAGTATTTGTAGCCACAGATGCTGTGAGGAAAGGTATGGAGTTGGGACTTTCAGCTTACACCTGTCTCTGCTGGACCTGATTAGGCCCTGGTGATGTAGTGTATTACATGTTGGATTGCAAACTGAAAGATTGATGGTTCAAATCCACCAACCACTCTACAGGAGAAAGATGGACATTCTCATCCTGTTAAGATTTACAACCTCAGAAACATAATGGCGGGTCACCATGAGTTACAAGTGACTTGAAGGCATCGATTTGGGTTTTTGGATTAGGCATCTCTCAGAAACCTTTCCTCATGCAGTTCCTAGGAGAGTCAAGCTAAACTTTGTCCTCCTTCTTACCTCTACCTGCTGCACTGGTACCATCTTTGTCTCTTCCTCTTTCTGACCTCTTCTGAAGCTTTTGCACATGGCAGAGTATCCATGTCTTTTGTTACAAATGCATTACTGTTTGCCCTGTGACTCCAACTCACAGGCCTCTTCCTGTACCTTGCAGACTATGAAGAGCTGAAGAAACTCCTGCCCGAGATGGTGCGGTACGAGCCCACATGGGAGGAGCTGGAGCTCTACAAAGATGGGGGCATCGCCATCATCGACCAGTGGATCTGCTCCCACGCCAGGTGGGCCCATATCCACACTTGCAGGATGAGTGCAGGGTTGTTTATAAGCAGTCTTAGCTGCTCAGCTACTTAGTCGTAGGCACAAGTGTTTGTCTGTGTCAGCACTCAGTTACCACCTCTGGTTTGCTGTCTGGTGTCTGTCTGCACTCAGTCACCACCTCTGGTTTGCTTTCTGGTGTCTGTGTCTGCATTCTGTCACCGCCTCTGGTTTGCTGTCTGGTTGCATGGCAGTGTCTCCTTGGGCTGATGTTCATCTCTCATTTAATCCTTTTGCTCTCATTTGCAGAGGTGTTTACAATAGATTGTTGTTAAAGCGTCTTCCAGAGCCCTACCCTCTATCCTGTCTCGTTTTTACTCTTTCTCTATCCCTGCTCCTATCTGCCATACCACTATGGCTGTCTAGTCCACTGCTTATGTCCTCATTTAAGTATGTAGCATGGATCATCAAAGACTTTATGTAGGGAGCTCTGGTGGCCTAGTGGCAAGAAACTGTACTGCAATCCCAGATGTGCCTGGTTCGAATCCACCTGATGCTCTGCTGGAGAAGGAGGGACAATCTCCTCCTATACCAGTCAGATCTGATTTGATGGTACAATGCACAAAAAATAATAAAATTTAAAAAAAAAGACTTTATGCAGGATACCCTACGAGTCAAGAAGCATCAGGCTCCTTTTTTCACCATTTTCATGGAATAATGGGGATTGCTTAGTGAGCTGGAAATAGGACATGAGGGCAGAGGACCAAGAGAATCTCTCTTAAAGGGCCAGAGGAAGTGAGAATAGCACAGACCTTCATCACCCCAGAGCATAAAGACGATAGAGAGCCCATAGCTCAGCCCCATGGTACCTCTAGAGCCACAGCAACAGATTCATTTATTTATTGTTGACTCACAGTTATGGTACCAAGAATGGGGTTTACTAGGGAAATACGTTGGAAAGTAGAGGAGGCAAAGACTATACCCAGTGCAAATCCAAACTTTAGCCCAGCAGTCCAGGCCACAATTCCTAGTTAGTCCAGTGTCTGATTTTAGTTAAGCAACACAGATTCAAGAAGCCTTTGGTTTCCTCAGTCATTCAGCAAAGTTTTCCTCGGAGTGGTTATAAGTCACCTTCTCCTTCAAGTCTTATAAGGATAGCAAAACATTTTACTATGACCTTTAACTCAGGGCTCCTCTGGTTATACCCCACAGTTTCTCCACAGCAATGCCAAAGTCTGTCCACCACCATCACTAGGGTCTTGCTCCAGTCTCCCTAAAGTCTTACTGTGCACAAATCTTGTTCTTCAGTGTGGGAAGCTTGCCCACATGCACATACTTGTGCACGCTCTCTTGCTCTGTTATTCTAGTTCCACAACTGTTGATAATTTCCAAGAAGATTCATCAACAATCTGCATTATGCAGATGACACAACCCTGCTTGCCGAAACTGAGGAGGACTTGAGGCGGTTGCTGCAGAGGGTCAAGGACTGTAGTCGTCAATATGGATTGAGTCTCAACATCAAGAAAACAAAGATTTTCACCACTGGACCAGTTGGCGGCATCATAATGGATGGTGAAGAGATTGAGATTGTTAACAGCTTTCGTTTGCTTGGCTCCACAGTCAACACTCTTGGCAACAGCAGCCAGGAAATTAAAAGACATATTGTAATGGGAAAGTCTGCTGTTAGAGACCTCTCCCAAAGTATTGAAGAGCAGTGATGTCACTCTGGAGACTAAGGTGTGTCTTTGCAATCTCTTGCTGTGTGTCAGAGAGCTAGACCATAACTAGGGATGATAGAAGGAAACTTGATGCCTTTGAGCTGTGGTGTTAGAGAAGAATATTGAACATAATAACATGGACTGCTAAGAAAACGAACAGTTTCAACCTAGAGAGAGTTAAACTGGGCAACTCCTTGGAGGCAAGGATTCTAAGCTTCTGCTGACATACTTTGGACATGTTGTAAGGAGGGACCGGTCCTTGGAGAGGGATGTCATGCTTGGGAGGGTGGAGGGACAGGGCAGGAGAGGAGGACCCTCTATGAGGTAGATTGATTCAGTGACGGGTAATTAGGGTAGGTGTGTTGGAGACAGATTGGCGCAGGATAGGGCAGAGTTTAGGGCTGTTGTACATAGGGTTGCTGTGAGTCACAGGCAACTGGACGGCACATAACAGCAATAACAGTGTGTCTTCAGTTAAGGTAACCAGAGACCAGAGGAAGCTTAATGTAATGACTGAAAAAAGCCAACTTTAGACTAACACTGCAGAGATGTAGAGCCAGATAGAATGAGGCCTATGTCTCTATATGACAGGTGAGGTTAGAACTCAAGTCAGAGCACACTAAGCAAAACAAAATATTTATACATTACTTTCTGTTTTCATAGAGTTTTCAAAAGCTTTTTATTTAAGAAGTAGATGACCCATCCTGCTTCCTAGTTTGTCTTAAGCAGGGAGCTCCACCAAAACCCATCCATGATGGAAAACCCTTTTGGAATTTGACTCACTAGTGTCAAAGATTTCAGTATCACAGCAACCTCAAGTACAGTACAGCAAACTTGACAAATGCTGCACCACTTACTAACAACTTTCTAAATATAATCACCGAATTTTAAATATGGAGGCCCGCCCACCAGATCCTTTTTGTCCACACAGGTTTCCCACCCGTGCTTATTGTAAACGAGATCAGATACAGTTAATCAGCTTATACTTAGTTGCTAACACAATTTAGAAGTGTCCAAATAGTTTACCCCGGTTCTCAAGTAAGTCATAAGAACTTACCCACCAGGATCCAACTTCACCAGGCTACAGGCTCACTCAGGCAGGACCAGACTGAGTTTTAAATACCAAGGCTCGCCAACCAGATCCTGTTTGCCCACACAGAGGCTTCCCGCCCAGGCTGATTATAAACAAGATCAGATACAGTTAATCAGCTTACGCTTGATTGCTGTGAGTCAGTGCTGACACCTAACAACATCTTTCTGTTTTCAGAATTTCCAGATACTCCATTTTTTTCTCCACTGTTTATATAAGTGTGTATATATGTGAAAAATGTTTTGTGAATGACAATGTTGTGTGGCTCTCACTATCTTCTTTCCATTTTTCACTTAACTGCTGTGTTTGAAGCTTTGCCCACTCTAGTTCATTGAATGCATGGACCTTTAGCGATTTGTTGTTGTTGTTGTTGTTGTTAAGCGCCTTCGAGTCACAGGCGACTCATAGCGACCCTATGAAGGAGAGTCCTCGACACTTGGGTGCCTTTCATCCTCTCTCCAGGTTCATAGGGTTTCCGGAGGCAAGCTATTGTGGAAGTGGATGCCACTCCTCCTTTCACGCTTGTTGTAATCGGGGAGCTCCACCCCACTCTCTGTCCACATTGGGTAGCCAACCATTAACGCATTTGACACATCAGTGCCACAGTGTTCAGCCTCACAGCAACCACAAGTGACCACGGCATAGAAACCAAGATAATTCATGCCAGCCAGGCTGCAGTGAATGGCCTTGTTTTTATCCTGTCAGGCCCTTCAGAGCAAGATTTTTCATGTGTGTAAACAGCAGAGTGAAAGCAGGAGGTGCAGTGGTCACATGATTTCCCGAGACCCTGACAGATTGGACACTATAGCACACAGTTCAGCTATGCCTCTTGTTTTTTCAAATCAAAGCCAATGTTTAGTATTCTCCAACATCTGATTATTGCCAACTTGAAACACTAGTGGTGCAGTGCTTGGTGGTGCGAATATACCAGCCACTCTGCAGAAGGATTGGGCAGTCTGCGTCTATAACAGTTCACGTCCATGAAAACGCTGTAGGGAAGTTCTGCTCTGTCCTACAGGGTTGCTCTAAATCAGGAAAACAAAAGTGGGTTAGGTTTGGGGTTCAGATAGAAAGGAGAATCATATTTTTATTTTCCTTTCTCTAGAAAGTATGAGCGTCCTCGCATGTGCTTGTTAGCCATTCAGGTCTCCTTTCTGAACTAAGTTTACTTTTCATTTAACAAAAAGTTAAAGGAATTTAATTAAGAAATATACCTCTGTTCATTTCTTGGCCTGTTATGGATTATTCTGTTTGTCTCTTACTTTATATTAGTATTTTCATCACAGTTTAATATACATAGAGAAATTTTAATATGTACAGTAGATTTCCATAAAGTGAATAGGCTCATGTCCATACTGGCTTTTTGTTTTGTTTTTCATATTTTTTAATTCATTTTCTTATAGTAATTCGTATACATTGTGTTTTATTCAATTTTTCATTTATATTGTTTGTTACAATCATTCATATACATTGTATTTTATATACTAAATTACCCTGGATCTGTGACTGTCATTACACTCTCTTTTCAAGTCCTCAATGACTCTTTCCCATTCCTTCACCCTCTCTTGTCCACCCACTAAACTCTACTATCTTGGTGATTACTACCCTGCCCCTTTTCCCCTTTACCCTTCCCCTTTTGGACATTTCTTCACATCTTACTAGTTATCCTTCTATTTGTAATTATAACTGTATTATCCAGTATTTGTTATTTCGCTCAGTGTAATACTCTCTAGACTTTCCTAAGTTATATAGTATTTTACAAAATCATTATTTTTTAGTGCTGCATAGTATTCCATTGTGTGAATATATCACAATTTCTCAGTCCATTTGTTGATGGACATGTAGGCTGTTTTCATATTTTTGCTATTTTGAATAGCATTGCTGTGAGCATAGGTGTACATATCTCCATTTGTGTATCAGTTCTGTTTTCCTTGGTATGTTCCTAGAGGTGCAGTAGCTGGAACATAAGTGATTTTGTACCACAGCTTTTTTTTAGGAAACACCAAACTGTCTTCCAGAGTGGTTGTACCATTTTACATTCCCACCGGCAGTGCATGAGAGTTCCTATCTCTCCACACCCTCTCCAACATTTATTACTTACTGTCCTGTTAAACTTTGGTACTGCTACTGGAGTTAAATGGTATCTCACTGTGGTTTTGATTTACATCTCTCTGATTGCAGTAAGCATTTCTTCATGTGTCTGTTGGCGGTCTGAATGTCTTCCTCTGTGAAAAGTCTCTGCCCATTTTGTTACGGGTTATTGGTCTTTTTCTTGTGGAGGCCCTGTCAGATTCTTTGACATTTCATCTTGAGACCCTTTTCTGAGATGTCATTGCCAGAAGTTTTTTCAAAAATCTCAATTTTATATATATGCTAGATTGTTGAACCATTTCCGTTTGACTCTTGTATTCTGTTGGGAAAAGTTTTTGATGACCACAGAGCCTTAATTTTTAAAAGATCCTGTTTGTTCATTTATCCTCTCCTGATTGTGCATTTATAGCTATACTTGCAAGCCTATTTATGTCATTGACTAGGCCTTCTAAGTTTCATCCCATTTTGTCACTTAAGATCCTTCTGGTTTGGGGCTTTACTCACAGGTCGCTGATCCACCTTGAGTTGATTTTAGCATATAGTGTGAGATGTGGATCCTATCTCTGTTTTCTGCAGGCAGATACCTAGTTTTGTCATCACCATTTCTTGAAGAAGTATAGCGCACAAGTTGTGTTAGATAAATATGAATAAGTAATTGAGAGTCCAGTTTAAAATGAAACACACAGTCACTCATTAGCTGTTGAAGCCATCTGCATGGCTATTTCTTTGGCCACAAAGCTGCACTTTAACATGAAACAACCAAAGTGAAGAAGTCAGATGTGAAGGGAGCATAGTTGACAGAAGGAGAAGAATTAATTGACGCCTTTGAGCTGTGGCGGTGGAGAAGGGCACTGAGCATCCCATGGATGGCCAAAATAACAAATATATCTTGGAGAGGGTGCAGCCAGCGCCAGAGTGCTCTCTGGAGGTAAAGATGATAGGAGGGACTATTCCTTGGAGCAGGACATGATGCTTGGAAAGACTAAGGGTTGGCGAAGGAGGGGAAGACCCTGGACCAGGTGAATTGACACAGTGACTGCTACAGTGGGCTCTAGTGTGTCAGGAGGTGTGAGGTTGGCACAAGACAGGACAGGGTTCAGATCTGTTGTTCACAGGGTCGCTATGGGTCATACTCAATAGCATCTAACAAAAACAGCAGCAACAACAGACGTATGTGAGGGCAGTCTCTGAAATTAACTTTCAGGTAACCTGCAAGACAAGTCAGTGGAAAATCAAACTGAAACAAAGATTATTTTTAAAAGATGGAAAAACAGAGCAGAACATAAGACGCAAATAAACATGGCCCAGTAATCTAGCGTTTATATAATTGAGATCTCAGAAGGAGGAAAGAGAGAACTGTTGGATCAAACAATAGATGAAGAGACAATGTCCAAGAACTCCCCACCCAGATGAAGGACATCAACTCTTAGACACCATCGTGAAAGCAGCCAGCACTGCCCTTATGAAGGGAACAGGTCTTTTTTCCCCTCTGGTTTCTTTTCTAACCGTTTTCTCCTATTGTTGTTATGCTCTGTTGAGTTGCCTATGACTGTTCACAACCTAGTATACAACAGCCCTAAACCCTACTCTATCCTGTGTCAATTTATGTTCTCTTACACACCTACCCCCATTACTTCATTCACTGATTTAATCCATCTCATCCAGGGTCTTTCTTGCTCTGTCCCACCCCCCCTCAGCATGATGTCCCTCTCTAAGTACTGGTCCCTCCTTGCAACATGTCTAGATTAGGTCAGATGGAGCTTCAGAATTCTTGCGTCCAAGGAGCAGCTTGGTTTCACTCTCTCTAGGGTGAACCTGTTTGTACTCCTAGCAGTCCATGGTATATTCAGAACTCTTTTCCAGCACCACAATTCAAAGGCATAAATTCTCCTTTCATCCCTAATCGTTGTCCAGCTTTCTGATGCATAGCAAGTAATTGCAAAGACCATGGCCTGAATCAGGCACTCCTTAGTCTCCAGACTGACATCGTTGCTGTTCAGTACTTTGGAGAGGTCTCTGATAGCAGATTTAGTCTCTGTTTTTTAAAAGAAACAGTTTAACAGTTGCATTTCTTCTGCTTGAGTTATGCTTAGCTTCTTAAATCTCTCTACTTATCTGCTCATTTTTTTACTGTCACTGAATTTGGAATGAAAAGAACCACAGAGGTCCCATGGCATGGGGCAGGGAACTGGAGCCATCACCCAGTCAAAGGGCAGGCTCTTGTGATTACAGGACAGCAATGGATGGGCGGGTGTCTGGGGGGTGGGGGGTGGAGAGTGAGTGTGTGTGTATGAGAGAGAGATATTTGCTGGTACTGTTTAATGCCACTCACCCTCTTACATTACTCTGTAGGGTTTTTATTGGCACTTCATTCTCAACCTTTTCCTTTCGGATTCATGAAGAAAGGGAGATCCTGGGATTGGATCCCAAGACGACATACAACAGATTCTGTGGCGACCAAGAGAAAACATGTGAACAGCCCACCCACTGGGAGATTGTGTACTGAGGTGGCTCAGTGCCATCTGTGGGTCCACAGTACCTTTTCACTGAGAACACTTTTGTCATGAGAGGAGCCTCCGTGTGCCTGGCAAGCGGGAATGAGGACATCCTGCTGCCCGTCATGGTTTCAGACCAAGAGATGGCCACACTCAGAGCAACCTATGGTGAGGACCCTGGGCTGTGGCGACTGTGGCTGTGTCTGTAGCCGAAATGTCTCACTGCTTTCCTGGGACTTAGGGGCGTTGTGCAGTCAGGGTCTGTGAGGGGCAGCTTGGCCGAGGGGAACAGACTATTCCGAGCAATTTTGCTGTCCTTGGTGGGCTGCCCCCTGTGTTTCCCGCTTACTCTGAGCGAGTCACGGATGCAGAGATCCCGGCTGTGTGCACTGCCGACCTGGCTGACTCTGTACAGGGAGACTTTTTTTAAGTTCTACAGTAGTGACCAAAGAATCTGCTGCCTTGCTCCCACCCTCTCTCTTCCTCCAGCACAGGCCACATGGATTGTGTAGACACAAGAAGAGCCAGGCCAGCCAGAGACTCGACAGGGCCCTGGAAAGAGGGGAGCATGTGGAATGCCAGAAAGTTCCACAGCACTTCCCTCAGAGGGGCACCCAGTGAGTTCAGAGGGCAGCCTCTCACCTACACTGTGGTCACTCCCGTCCTGTAGCTGTCACTGGACTGTCACCCAGCACCCCAGTGCAGCACGGCTGCAGGGAAGACTGTGACACAAGGCAAGCGAGGGGCAGAAGGACCGCCAGAAACCTGCGTCACCGCTAAAATGAGTTGGCAGCAGTGCACACACCAGCTTCAAGGGCCCTCTCGGGATCTGCCAGCAAGTCCAGGTTCTGTCCATCCGCGAGGATGCGTGCTCCAGGTGCTGCCAGGAGGAGCATTCTGCCAAAGAGGAGCACGCTGGACACACACTTGGCCATGTGCACAGAGGGTGCCCTGGGCCTCAGGGCCCAGCCTGGGTGATGTCATCAGTGACACCCCTCCTACCACCCAAATGCTGTCACCCCTCCCACTTAACCCAGCAGCCCCCTGTCACTTCCCACCATATGTGACCATCAGCCACACCAGCCAGCACTCTGCTTCCAGGCTGGAAGCCACTTCCCACCTCTGCCAACAGCACCTCGACACGCACAGTCCATCAGACCCTGGACCTGACAGCAGACGACGGAGACAGAGCAGGGAGAACAGGACCTTCAAAACCTTCCAGACACTGTTCTTGATGAACTTTCTGGAACCCAGGCGCTGTCCTTGGTCAGCAGCTACAAGCTCCAGGACCAGGACCCTGTGTGCAGTGTTTCTTTGCCTTTTCCTCTCAAGCTTTTACAACATGCCTTCATCATTTTCACTCTGACTTCAATGTGAGATTGGATTCTGTGGTGTTCCTCACAACCGTGCAGGGTAAAATGATTAAATATTTATTCTTTTTCCATTTGTACATTCAGATGTTATTAATAAAGTAAATTTTCTAGAAAGCTGGAATTTTGCCAGTGGACTCTTTTTCTTTAGGCTGAGGGCTCAGTCCTGATCGTGGTGGCGTAACCATGTGTCTTTGTGTGAACTGCCCCAGTTCCCTCCCTACTGCAGCTGGGCATGGGGGCCTTTTAGATCTGGGGAGGTGGGCCAAGTGCCGGTGGGAGGCCTGTGATGTGGTCAGTAGGGTGGCTGGAGGAGACTCGTGAGTCCTTAGCTGTCCACAACAGGCCTCATCTTTAGTCTTATCCCCACCTGTAGCACCCATGGTCACATTTACCTCGAAAAATGTACCCCAGGAGCCCTAGGAAGAAGTTCTCCACCAGGCGGGAAATAGAAGCTACCGGGGGTCCAGCACATTCTAGAGGGAAGATGTGTGCTAGACTGGTCAGTTTTGTGATAAAAAAAGAGCAGCAATTCAGATGAACAGAAGGCCCTGGAGGGAGGAGGGTAATGGCCTGCATGAGGGGGAAGCCTCCAGAAGGTGCTGTGTACAAAAACGGGGACAAGCCAGGGGACATCCATGGGAGTTGTCAGCGCTGGAGAGACAAGGAGGCAGCTTTACAGAGAACAGAGGATGGGGGTCCCTGGACCGCATCCCCTGTCCTGTGTCTGTGGAGACACTGCTCAGCAGCACTTTGCCACCACACCCGTTTTCTTGTTTGCATCTGGGATCCCTTTTGTCGCATCACTGCTGGGACACAGCTCCAAGAAATGTTAGTGATCTGAGTAGAAACAGCCAACATCACTGGTGAGGGGTTCATGCTGAGAAGGCCCCTGGGTAAAGCTGATGACCCTGGTCTGTGTATCATGCTCCAGCTCCATGGGCAGCCTGACAGAAAGCTTCTGTGTGGGCAGACATGGATGCACGGAACATTAGGACTTCTTTTGTGCCATGAAGACTGTTTCTTCACAGCCACAGTGTGGATCTCATGCTCCAGCACCACCGATCTACCTAATGATCACATGAGGTGTCTTGGTTCAGTTCTAGGGGTCCCTAGCTAAGGAAGCTTGCGTCCAAGTTCTACACAGAGCCCTACATGATTCCAGTCAATTATACTGAACAGCCAGGCTCAGTATCTGCAGCCATAGGAAGGCATGTCCAGCTCAGAGTACCCATAGGTATAACCATATTTACTGTGGTGGTTTCTCTTGAGATGGAAAAATGCCTAAATCCCTAGCTCCCCCGACCCCAGATAAGGATCCCCCCCAGAGTGGCCCGCCCTTCTCTCTCTTGCTTTTCAGAGCCCCATGCAACTCTTTGCCTCCCTGTCCCTGTCCTCCAGGTCTGCTTTTCTCTGCTATGAGGACACCACTCTGAATTTAGGACCTGCTCTGCTCTGGATAGTGGGATGCTTAGCTGTTACCTAAAGCTTATGTTAGCTATTAGCAGAAAGTGTAGCAGTTCAGGTCCACCAAGAATCTCTGAAAAGTCAGCCATTGAAAATTTGGGAGCAGAATCCTACGCTGGCACATATGAGGAGGACACTAGTCTGAATTGACTCCACAGCAACTGCTTTGCTTTGTTTTTTCTACTCATCAAACCACACGTGGATTTAATTCATTATGTCCACAGAGACCCTAAAATTAGGTCACATTCACAGGTTAGCAGATTAGGACTTCAACACAGGTTTTGGGGAGGGAGCACAGTTCCACCCAGTAAAGCTCTTCTCTTGGGTTCTGTGGCCCAATGGCTGCCTGAATCAAGTCCACCATGGCGGCCAGGGAGGATTCTGGGGTTCGCTGCACCCACACACAGACCAGAAGGCTTCCTGACTCGGTCGCTTATTCCTGTTGAAGGGCTAGCTGGCTTCAAAGTTACTACTGGGTGGAAACAACCCCCAGCCTCTGCTGCTATTTCTGCACATAATCAGGCTGAAACGAGTCAGGAAACCACCAGACAAGAGCTTGTCCTGCAAATATTGTATGAAATCATTATTGTAGAATAGAAAAGTAACTGGTAAAGCGTGAATGATGACCCAAGGAGGGGAGGGGAGGACCAGTGGGGTTAGGATAGGCAAGTGGGTCATCATGTGGTCTCACAATTTGATGGATAGAGGGAGGGGTGAGTAAAGGAAATGTGAAAGATCCAGCAGAGATCTGGAAATGGTGGACATAGTTCAAGTTGATTCATTTCATAAAATACCATGAATGAGAGTGATTATATACATATATACTAAAATAAACCTGTCTTGACCGCACCGTGGCCCAGCGCACCACTTCCTCAGCTGGTCTGCTGAGCAAGGAAGCAGCGCCTCAGGCCCTGGAGCGAGAGGTCCCAGGTCTCCTCTCAGGTCCCAGAACTCAGGGAGCCTCGCACTCCAGATGGCAGAGAGACAGACCAACGTGCAGCTGCCTCCCTGTGGGGCGGGGGTCTGGCCGAGAGCCTGTGCCCCACAGAGCTCTCTGCACAGGAGCAGCGTTTAGTGTCCAGCGAAGTCCCTGGGGAGGGGACTTTGGCAAGGAGGTGAATTCTTTAACCACCAAACTCAGTCATAGCCATCAAGTCAGAACCAACTCACAGCTCATAGTGAGTTTCAGGGACTGTTAACTGCATGGGAGGAGACTGCCCACCTTTCGCCCCAGAACCGCAGGTGGATTCGGGCTGCAGAGAGGTACCACCTTGGGTTAGCAGGCAACTCCCTCGCTACTTAACGCTACTAGGGCTCTACCAATGACATAATCTTGTCCCTCAAAAGAAGTGTTGATGTCCTAACCAATGTACTTGTGAATAACACCCTTATAAGGAGCGTTTGGGCTTGTTTTCCTCATCACTAAGTCCGGGTCACATCTAAATGTTAGCTGCCCTGTGATTGGCTGACTCACAGAGTCAGGTACCAGGAAAGACGCGCTGCCCCGCCCCGCC